CTTACTCACAAGCTCTCAAGGTTGCTACTACACTCTTCGCTAACTTAAGCATCGGAGTGCCCACATCAGGTAAAGTATCATGGGTCCTCTGATCGTGTTTTCTTGTAGTTTGATCGGCCATGTAAGCAGACCAATGTCCGAACTACCATCCAGTAGGGAGTGACCAGATCGTAAAAAAAAAAAAAAAAAAAAAAAAAAAATAATAATAATAATAATAATAATTGTTAATCAATATGGATCTTTGACTTTCTTTGGAATTGATGTATAGGATTCTTTTAATTTAAGTGTTGTTATTGTACTTGTTGAGTTGGTACAGGAAGAAGAGATGAAGAGTAAAAATAGGATGGAAAGAAAAAAAGCGTACAATTCTAAAATTTTGTAGTATACAAATTAAAAGATAAATAATAAAAACTAAATTAATATTACTATTAACCTAACTGTGGGCTCTATTAAGTAAACCACACTTAAAAGAACACCACTGTGCAAAGAAAAAGTGGCAATCAGATTGGATCTACAACAAAGTCATTGGTTGTAGATCTACAGAAGAAAAGAGAAAAAGTAAATGTCAGTCACAGGTTGGGTACTTTAAATAGAATTTGGATTCTAAAAAATTAATTTTAAGGCTTCTTTTAAGTAGTATTGCAGTGTAAACACATGGAGTGCAAATATTTGACCTTGTCTTATTTGTTCCTGAAAAATACAATGACTTGATCCCACCTTAAATGTGCAAGAAAATGGAAGAAGGGAATTATTTATTTGGGAGTAAGGTAGCAAGCAAAGATGATATTGTGCCCATTTTGTATGAGAGAGAATAGAGATAGGATAAATATATTGTATCAATTTCTGAAATTAAAATTTTACATTATTAGTAAATTCAAATGAGACAAAACATACAAATTTTGTATCATGTAAGAGTGTAAATTATAGATGAAAATTGAATTGGGTGCAAAATTTGTATTTAGATCAAATTTACACTACAACCAAATTACAAATACAAATAATTGAATGTCATTGTCAATGAGGTTGTGGTAAAGATATCAAGGCCCCTTCAGCAATAGAAAACCATGTTGAGTCAACTATATATAAGAAAAAAAAATAGGCCAACAGGCTTGAGAAATCTGGTACTGTATGTATGCGCTTGGCACTCCATTAATTAAATTGAATTACATTTGCAACTCGGAGAAGACAATAATTGGCTCATTCAGTTAACTTATGTCAGGTAAACAGCCAGCTTAATTGTGAAATAAATTTTAAAATAATAAACAGTTTGGCTTTCCTCTTACAAAATTGATCTTCACTTCACACCTGACCTCACAATACTTGCAGCTAACCATGCATTGTGATTCTAGCAAACATGGTTTAAACAAATTATAATCTTTTCTTTTTGAAATACATTTTTTGCTGCTCAACGCTCACTTGAAACATTTATCACACTACACCTAACTCGTTATTTCTTCTCAAACAGTTATCACACTCCAATATTTGGAGCAAATACGTTGGATTGAATGGGATATAAGTAGATCCAAATTTGATTCATTAATGGAATTTAAAATAATAAATTAAGTTAAATTTGATTCATTAATTGAATTGTATTAATAAATTAAGTTAAATTTAAAATAATGAAAATATTCTACATTTTTATAAAATGAACTAAAATAACTTTAATATTGCATAACATGAAACACATTTAACACATGGATTGAACACAACAACTTCTTTTCAACTTGAACCAATGACTAATAAAACATCGGTTGAATTAAAATCACCCCTAATCTAATCCAATCAGATTCAAATTTGAATTTGAACAATATACCATTACCGTCCTAAGACGATTCGTAGTTTTTAAGAACAAGAAAGCTGGCAATCCCTTATAAGTCTGGTAGGTGTTTGGCATCGATGTCGTTACTTCAGAGATGTTTTCTGAGAACGGTGTTGTATGCATGAGGGTATGTTGTACTGTTTTCTTAGAAAATAGCTCCTTTTTTTTTTTTGTTTAGCATTGATGCTGCCACATAGGCTGTTTTTTGGAAAAACAGTACTGGTTTTGTTTGGTACTAGTGCTTATAACCGTTTTCAGTATTGGTCTACATTATCCAATGCCCATGATGATGCCACGTCATTGCACTGCTAGCAGCAACAGGTTGTTTTCTAATAAAACATTAGAATTAGGATGCAGCTTGGGTGGGTTGGGTTGAATTAAGGAGGGGTGTCAATTGGACTGGATTTGGTCCAATCCGATCCAGTCCAATGTGAGTCCATTATAAATGGATCAGGTCCAACCCAATCCAAAGAATATTTTGGACCGGTCCAATTTAATGTCTAGACCATCCAATCTGTTCAAATTCATTTTGGTTTAGATTAGGTTCAACCCAAACATGGTCCATTCACACCTATATTCTTATCTTATACGAATGGACCGGATATTGGCTTAATCCAACCCAATCCAATATAAAATTATTATGGATGGATCAGGTCCAATCCAATCTAATGAATATTTTGGATCAGATTGGTCCAATCCAATATGTCTTGTTGGTCTGTCCAATCCAAAACCAGTCCATTGACACCCTTAGAATTAAGGGTCAACTCAGGCCCCCTAAGACTTAGACTCAGGCTTGGGACTGGCCCCAGCCTAAGGTCAAGCCCAAGCTTACCAACACAAGCCCAACCCAATATTAGCTGAAGCTTGGTTGGGCCTAGACACGGGCTAGACAGGTTGGCTGGATTTAAAAGTTTTTTTTATGTTTAATTTGCACATCCACCTTTAATTAGGGTTAATAGCCTAATTCAAAGGGTAAAACTAGGGGGGTGCAAGTTGAGCAGATTGGACTGGGCATGAGGCCTGAGAGATCAAGTCTGAGATGTCCAAATTAGGCCCATCCCAAATTGAAATTTGATGCACTCAAGTTGGGCTCAAGCCTGGGCCAGGCTCAAAATGGTCAGTCATCAATATAATGCATATATGTATGGTTTAGAAAAAAGTATACAAATATGTATATAGACATACACAAACACATATTAGATACATATATGCATATACATAGTCGGGCCAAGCTCGGATTAGGATAAGATAGGGTTTGGCTCAAGCTGGATTTGAGTTACTTAGGTTGTGTTTGGTTTGAAGGAAAAGGTAAGGAAAGATAGGAAAACCTATACAAACCTGCCTGGCCCCAAAAATAAAAATAAAATAAAAACTGAACTTTTGGACCCAGACCCAACTCAAAGACCGAAAATCCAAGCCTAACATGTATAAATTGTGGGCTGGATCGGTTTCGGTCTCCAATTGGGCCTGCCCAAGTTGCACTCTTAGGTAAAACAAACAATATAAAACGATTGAATAGATGGAAGTCCTGTGTGGTCAGTCATTTTGTTTAGCAGATTTGCATTTTTTTTACGCCACAAACAACAAGGCAAATCATTCATTGCTCGAAAACATTGTCCGAATACAGGACCTCTGATGCCTAAAAAAAAAGAAAAAACACAGGACCTCTGAAAGGAATACATGGAACAGATCTGCACTCTGTATGTTGTTTTCATATATACAATTCATATATTCCATTTTGTATTGGTAGCTGTTGTTTCACATAGTTGTTGAAATTTTCAATTCTAAACAATAAACTAGGGCCTCGTTTGGTTCTCAGAATAGGGGTTTGGAATCGGAATTGGAAAGGATTATTCCGATTCTAACCGTTTGGTTGGGCGGAATCGGAATCCCATTCCCATTCTTGCTTGTTGGAATGGCATTCCCTTATTTGAGGGAATGGCCATTCTCTCTGCCCCTTCTTTGGGAATGAAATCTCATTCCTATTGATTCCAATTTTCATTTCCATTCCTGTCTGAACCAAACAGATTATGGGAATAGAACATTCCAATTTCGATTCCAAAGGATTTTAGGGTATGTTTGGTTTGTAGTCAGAATTGAAATCGGAATGGTTCATTCCTATAGTCTATTTGGTTCAGACAGAAATGAGAATGGGAATTAAAATCAGCAGGAATGGAATTTTATTTCCAATGAAGGGGCAGGGAATGGCCATTCCCTCAAATGGGGGAATGCCATTCCAGTAGGAATGGGAACGAGATTCCGATTCCGCCCAACCAAACAGTTAGAATCAGAAAAGTCCATTCCGTTTCCGATTCCAGACCCCTATTCCCGCAAACCAAACGGGGCCATAATTCCAATTCCGATTATAATTCCAACTGCAAACCAAACAGACCCTAGATTAAAGGTGATAACTTGTATTCCTTCTGAACTCCAAACAAATTTGTTTTTCTTTTTTTCACTGCTCCAAAGTTTCAAACCAAATTGTTAGTATAAAAATTCTTTAGTCATTAAAAAACTAAACTAAATAACAAACCCATTCCTATTATTTCAATCCACTTTTTTTTTATGTACATTTCCTAATCAGGTCCCACCTAATTCCACCATGTAGAGGAATATATTATCAACAATCAGATGTGGAGTTCTTTTGATTGGCCATGACTTGTTAGTCTGTACAAAATTAACGAAAGGGTGTCAAAAGTACTCAAATCTACATCAATTATCAAAAGTATCATGTATGATATTTTTATTTAGTTTTTATACTTTGCACCAAAATCAAGATAAATATCTACTTTATATATAATAGATATAAATATAGATGCTACACATAAAATACTACTAATTAAAACGTGTAATGTACATATACACTGTAGAAATACTTTTCTTAATAGGTGCCTAGAAGAAAGGCAATTTGTGGTGGACTGGTGGGCTCACCATTTTCTAGAGTGTATTAGTAGGAAAGAAGGCATCTGTCCATTAAAGATTTGAGGGAAAGCCTTTACAGCAAGGAAGTTAAAGATTGGGAAAAAGATGGTAACAAGGAAATGAATATTCTTCTTTATTACCAACATATCATTTGTCTCCACCTTCTGTGCTTTCCTATAACATCCAATTAAAGAATAACTTGGCCACCAAGTTCTCTTTTCTCCTCCTTTTTCTTATACCAGACCCCCCAGACGTGAACCTTGTCATTGTGTGAAACAGAGGAGTCACAATTTTCAATTTTCCTCCATTCGATCGGATATTATTGGCCCAGGAATGGTTAAGCTAACCATTATTGGGAGGGTGATTGATGGGTTGCCCCTTGCCCAAGGCCATAGGTATACAAATGAAGAGGATGAGTTTTACAAGCAACAGGGAGAGTTTATACTCAAAGAAATCTCGAGAGGAGCCCTCACACATTCAAAGATGTGCATTCGTGTTGATCACCACTGCTTCTAGTATCCTTCTTCCTTTCCGACCTTCTTTTCATATTTCATCACAAAATTTGTATGTTTCTATCTTGTTAATTTCTTATACATACATAATAATACATCACATGTATGCTGCTGTGTTCTATGTTACTTGTGAGAATTAAGGTTGATAAGATGCCTCTTTCATTTAGTTTTCCTTAATTGCTGACTATTCCTAACTGCCGATGATGTCAAAGCTACTTAATCGACAATGGGTTCTCCTACATTGCGTTGTGCGAGTCTTCGTATCCAAGAAAATTAGCTTTTCATTATCTGCAAGATTTGCAAAAGGAGTTCGACAAGATGGATAACGAATTGATAGATACCCTTACAAAACCATATAGCTTCACTAAATTCGGTAATCTTATTTCTAAGCCATGTGCCTATAGGTGTAAATAAGGCCGTGCTGCTCGCGGCCTGAATTTGGACAGGCCTGGTCCAGCACGACAGCATGCGGGCCATGCCAGGCTCGGCATGATAGTCCAAGCAGTGTCATGTCGTACCACCCATGGTCCACATGTTGGCATGGCACAGCCCATGAGTCCATAGCGGGCCACACTTGGTCTGCCTGATTAACTAGCTTTTTGGGGGAGTTTTACAGAAATACCCTCTAACAGCATCCAAATATCTATATAAGGAAGTATTTATGTATTTTGGGGGGTTCCTAAATGAGGGTATGACACTACCCCAGATGTTTCACCAGAAGCAAATGATCAAAGTCAAGAACAATAGGAGAAAATAATGAAGTCAATATTTTTTGTATACTAAATAGTTGTATAGCATTTTTTCAAATTATTGTAAATTTTGTTTTAATTTTATTTATTTTATTTGATACTTTTTAATAATGTAATTTTCTATTCCCAATTTGTAAGTATATTGTATTTTATATTTTATTAATTTATTCTATTTTCTAATTTTTATATTTCATTCATCCAACCATTGTATGCTTTGTATCATTCAAATTTAAATGAAATAAAATTCCTATTTTTCTTCCAATTTGTTACACTTTGAGTATTTGTCTCTTTCTTATTTGGTTAAGTATTTTTTTTTCATTTCCTTCTTAGATTTCTTATTTTTTTCAAATAATTTCCAAAAGAAGGTTAAATATTTTAGTTTTACTTAGCAAAGAAATAAAAAATAAATAAAAACAAAATGTCAAAAAGAATAAAAACAAAAAAAAAAACAGTCTGACCCAGTTCGGCCTAGGCCCGCGGCATGGCACAGACTTGGGCCATGGACTGTGCTGGACTGACCCCCCAAATTATCCCTAGGGAGGGCAACATGGCCCAGGACGACCTGCACTTTGCGCAAGCCACAGGTGGGTCAAACACGACCCATTTTATACCTCTACATGTGCCCTTAACTTTTATGCATTTCCTTTCCTTTTCTTTCCTTTCATAGCAGATATATGCTTCAAATTATGGGTTTGGGTTTGCATCAGGCTTAGAAATTTTGGGCCGGGGCCCAGCCCACAATATATATCATCCCTATTATACACACACTTAGGAATTTGAACAGGGCGGGTTTGGGGCAGGGATTATATTCATTGTCCTTGATCCCAAATTTTAAATAAATCCTCATCCCCAACCCCATTTCCTTTCAAGGACAAAAATTGTCCTCTATCCCAATTCTTGACGGAAATGAGTTCCTCACAGGGACTTGAATCCTCAAAATTTTTAATCAATAGTATTTTTTTGAAAAATAAAATATAAATAATACTATATATAATATTTAATATGAATAGTACTTAATAGGGACTTCATTCCCCATTTCTGACCCATATTAGGATCCTTGTTAGTCTCTGTCCCTATCCCTGCCCCCGCCAAAGCAATCCCCATCCCAACACACAAATTCTTATTATTTATGTGTATGTTATATTATATTTTATTATATTATAATATGAAATGCTATATTTATTATATATAATATTTCATACTATAGCAAAGTATAACACAAATTATTACATAGGCGGACAGGCCCAACCCATGATCACCCCCTTGGAGTTGGGCACATGACACATCATGTATGCTAATAAACATTTATTAGGTTATCTCTTATGAAACTAATGTGTTCTAGTCACCATTCTTGTCTCATGTTTCTCCAAACTAAAATCGTCCACTAACTCATATCTTGTCAGTTAAGATAGTAGGACAGGGGTCGGACTGATAATCTGGTGAAGAGTATTATGACAGATTAGTACTAAGATATATATTGATAAATGGTGCTCAGATAATGTGATTGGAAGCATTAGAAAGCAATATCTAGATACAAGAACTCAGGCCAATCTGTCAAAGCTAAATGCGAATCGTAGACAAGACCCAGAAATTGTTACAGAAGATATCTCCAAGATCCTAGAAAATAGAAGACAAACAGGTAAACTTATTATAATATATACAAGCGTTTCAAAGTCAATCGAAGTTATATAAAGGGGTTGTCTATCAAACTAATATGTTTATTTATTTGGTATATGGCCAGAGGTTTCAGAAAGAGTGCTGGTGAGATCTCGTACGGAGTCTCCTATATGGTGTTCTCCTTGCCTTGAGGTGAGTGTTTCAGCAGAGCATTATTTGAAATGGTTTGATGTTATATTTGTTACTTTGGATTCTCTTTATTTCGACCATGGACCATGGGCCAAATGGCCCAAAACTAGCGGCTTAAGCTGTGGGCTGCTGGATTATATCACTTCACTTGGTAGTGGTAGATGGTCCAATGCATTGGCCCTATTTCTGACATTGGTGGGCCATCTTGATTATTAGAATTATCCAATTAAATTTGGGCAACTCAGGGTGGTGGGAGCGGATAGCGGGGCTTGAAATCGCATCTCGTCTGAAACTATCATTCAGTTGGCAGATTCTTTGCAATTATGGGGCAAGCATGATTTGCATGATGCATTGGTCCCATCAAGAGGGAAACTTCTTCTAGTGACAACATATAACACTAGTGCGGAGCAAGAAGGGCTAAGTTAAATAAAAAAATGAGATAGGGAATAGAATAAGTAAGGTTTCTGAGAAGGTTGGGAATCGGAGGAGTACAACTTGGGCTGGATTAGCTCCAATCCAACCACAAAATGTTAGATTAGATTGGGGTTCAGGTTAAGATTAGGGTTGAAAATTTTGAAATTCAACTTCAATCTAAAAATAAAACACAACTTTTCCTTATACAATTATTAATTAGTGAATTTCAATTTGTCAATTTTAAATCTAAGAAATAAACCAAGCCAGTCCAAACCCAATCCCTTCTAACCTGGCCCGACTTGCAACACTTAATCTCCCAAGCTGTCAACGAGTCAGGTCTGGATTGGGACAGGGTGGTCCCAGCCCCAAACCAACTATTAATCAGGACCAAATTACAGACCCAGAACTGTCCCGATTAATAGTCGAGTTTGGATCCAATACATCTGATTATATTGAAAATTATATTTATTTATTTAAATAATAATTTAAATTTTAAAATTTGATAATATAACCTTAATAAAAATGATAATAAAATATTAAATTATTTATATATTAATAAATTAATATTATCCATCTAATTTATCATTTCAAACATAAAACATGATAAAAATTATAAGAAAATTATATATATTTAATAAAATAATTGATTTTGGGATAAAATCATAGAACTGGAACCAACATATAATAAAATTGGTTTGGTTTGAGAAATTGGACAGACTCGATCCATTGATAGCCCTAAGAAGCAATGAAACATGAAGTCCAACTACGATATAGGAAAGGCATCATACCTATAAAACTGCTAACCAATCAACTGGGGGTTGTGATTGGTCAGAGTTTTTCTGACATCGTGCCTTTTTGTCATCATAGATATTGCGAGATAGGCTTTTATCAGCGCAAATCTGTGTTCACACTATTGTAACAGCTTTTTACAATCTTGCATATGTCTCCTCAAGAAATAAAGCATATAAGTAGGGAAATATTCTCAATGCAAGGCAATAAAAATTGTCCGAATAGGCTTTGCCCTGACTGAAGCGGAACTCAGACATTGCAAAAAACATATCATGTATTAAAGAAGAAACTTTTATCCATTCAATGATTCTACTCTATTTTTGAATTGCCTTTCTGCGCAGGTGATAGCCTTGAAATGGACACCCGTTACCATAATTGTGGTTGTTACCATAATTCTCTTATGGAGTTGCATCATTCTTACAGACAATTTCGTCACAAGTTGACGAAATCTCAACAATAAGAACACAAATACACAAAAATGAGGAAGAAAAAACGAAATGATTTCATCTCGTTCGAGTTTAATAGAAAGCTAGGCCATTAGTCTCTATTTGTGAGTTGTGAAGAAACTAAGAAGATCCATGTAAGAGACGGGTGGCTCATATCTCATTTGTGTTGTAAATGGTATTCTTTATGTCTTGTGGGTATGTAACTTTTGTTTGTTTGTGGTGTAGATTTCATTTTGCACTAGTGTAATGACTTCGTTTTATTTATTTGCTAGAAGTAACTTTATATGAAAGTGAATGGAGGTGGGAAGCAAGTTATTTAATTTGGGAGGAATAAGCTAGGAAGTAAATAGATCAGACCATGAAAAATTTTACACTGTTTCGGGCTCGGGCTTTGGGTTAGATCTATCAAATTTTACTAAAGCTCAACCCGACATGGCCCATGAATAGGTCTAGAAGCACATTAATTATGTGGTCCCTCATTTTAGATGCAAAGTTTATCTACCAATCAGTACAAAAAGTACAAATCGTAGTTACACACAAACTGATGCTAATGGACAAACCATTCAAATTGGCAACACCAATGTAAATTCGTTGTCATGGAAAACAGAATCAAATCAAGTATTACCGTTAATATTTGGGGTCAACAATAAGAATGATGAAAGATGAGTCCGCTATGGGGGGAGACAGAATAGTGGTGATGGATTAGGGTGGTGTTTGGCATCGATGCCATTTTTTGAGAAAATGGCACTGACATTGGTGCTATGTTAGAAAAAGTGGTACTTCAGAAGAAGGTTTTTTATTTGGTATTGCTTTTCTCAAAAAAAAAAAATTACTCTAGATCATGTCTTAGAAATTGAGAAAGTGTAGTATGAAGAAATACCAAATTTAAAATAATTTTGTAAAGGCACATAGGCAACTAATTAAAATACTACACTATTTTATGAACTTGTTTCAATCCGTTTTTTTTTTTAATTTAATTGTGTTATGATATATCAGGTTTCCTTCCTAACTACTAAAAACTAGTGTTTTCAAAATCGGATTGGACTGAACAATCACATCAGAAAAACTGGAATTGACCGATTCTGTTTCACCCAAAAACACTTTTTGACCAAAAATCGTTGATTTGATCAGCGAACCACTGACTCAGGTGGTTGAACTGTCAACCTGGACAATGGTTTTTGGCCAATTTTATTTTTAAATTTTTAATTTTTTTATTTTGTCAAAATGAGTTATCTGTTTAGACTGAAGAGTCAGATCATTCAACCCACAAACCAAAACAATCCCCTATCTGATCCGATTTTAAAAACCTTACTAAAAACAACAAAAGAAATTCTTCTTCCAAATTTAACCCACCAAACTGAAATATCTTATTTTTTTGGTTTGGGATAAACATTATAATGACTTAAAGTTGGATACTTACTTTGGTCCAATCACCTTAATTCGCAACCTTTATTTAAAAGTCATTATAATTGGAGGAACAACTATAATGACTAAAAAGTTGCATTCAATTCCTGATAAAACTTTTTTTGGGTCGAATGCTTTCCTATGAATTAAGGGCGCGCAACCCATTTTGAGCTCCAAATAAGTTCCTACTATCAAGTATTCAGTGTGTTTTTGTATCGGGAAAGGGCAGGGGCAGGGGCGTGATGGTGTGCATATATGTCAACATTCTATACATGGTTTTTAAAATCGGACTGGATCGGACGGTTGGACCAAAAAAACCAGGAACTAGTTGCTAATCGGTTCCATTTTCCCCCAAAACTTTTTTTTTCTCCAAAATCGTTGATTTTGTTCAACAAACTGCTGAATTGGCCGGTTAATTGTTCGAACAGTTTTGACCATTTTTTATTTTTTTATTTTTTTATTTTTTGTCAGAACAGTCGGCCCGTTCGAACCGGTAACCAGACCCCTGACTGGCTCGGTTTTAAAAATCACGATTCTATATATTTAGACAACTAACCAAATTGATGCATTTGAAACTTTTTTCTCTTCGAAAGCTTTATTGTGGTATAATGTATCAGGTTTCATGCTTAGTTATTAGAAACAGCAAAAAAAGAATACTCCTTCCAAATTTAAACTATAAAAACTGAAATATCTTTTTTTTTTCTTAAAGTTTTAGGTGAGCAATCAGAAAGACTCAAGCTGTGTTTGTTTGAAGGAAAAGGTAGGGAAAGAAAGGGAAAGATAAGGAAACCTTTACAACTCTTGTATAGATTTCTCTACCTTTTCCTTCATTTCCTTACCTTTTCTTTCAAACCAAACATAGCCTAAAGATTTGGCTATTAAAAAAATGGCCCAACTATCTTTATTTGTATCCTTACATTTAGCATATTAAAAGATCAATCTAGAAATGGTAATGCATCTAACAACATTTTTAACAATTAACCTGTATTCAGAATCTCAGATACAAATAAAAGGCATTTGTCAATCCAATCCAAATTAACCCAAAGAGGGTTGGTTGCGCTTTCCAGTTTAATAAATAGTTATCAAGTGCCTACCTTGAAACTTTTCAAATTTTTGACACCTATCTCTTAAAATTTCCCCAGCCTATGCCTACCCTTGAAAATGATTAAAAACCACTTTTGACATTGTTAGAATAGTTATCAAGTGATTATTGAACGTATTTACTATGTTTTGCGAAGTTTTGAAGCCAATAGTTACGTTTTGCTCACAAACAGAGTTTTCTTGCATTGAGAACTCTCTTGCCACGTGGCCTATTAAGAGGCCTGTGTAGGAAAAAGGGAGGGAGGAAAAGAGAGTTAATGAGAGAGCAGGGATGGGGTAAGGGAGAAAGGAAGGACCTTCAAGGAGGAAGCAGCAAAGGGGAAATGGGAGAAGGAAAGGGTTGTTGGCATGGCCTTTATTTCTATATAGTATAATACTAGTAAACATGTAAGTGTATTTGCACGTGACAGTATTTTTAAGACAAATCTATTTATAATTCATGGTCACTTTTATAATTCATTTATCCAAAAATTAATTAAAGTATTTTGGAAGTTCATCAATAAAATTTTCTAAGACAAAACTATTCAACTTACCATATCCGGTTCCAACAGCCTAACAGTTTCTGAACAGTTATAAGTGGGCAATTTCTGAAGTGAGAGTAAAGGACATATATGCCCTCTTTATACTTGTTTTATGCTTAGACAAAGGGGGTAGAAAACATTCAATGAAATTTCCAGAAAGAAGGGACATTCACTATTTTTTAGATAGTATAGATAGATAGGAGAATAGAGGCATGTTCCTTTGTGTTGGCGTTTTTGTACTTCTTGTGTTGTTTTTAAAGGCTTCTCGATTGGTCTATTCCTAGTGCTCAATTTATTTCATTTTTTCAGCAATTTGATTTATATTTCGGTGTTGCTTTAATGTTTTTATTTCATGTTTCATTCTGGTCTTTTGTTCAGGTCTGATTGCTGATTGTACTAATTTTGATTTATAAATAATTTCACCTTTATGGCTTTATATGGCTGAAAGGGAGGGGGGCAAATCCAGTCAAAGGTGGAACTATGTTTTTTTTTAATTATAAGTTGTAAGAATGTTGAGACTAGAAACAAAAGAATAAGGGCAATTGCAAGTTTGGAGCGAAATTCACTGCTTCCGTAAAGGTTATTTTAGTATTATCATTATTATTTAAACATTGTCCCAACTATGTGGGGTTGGCCAACTGAATGCTATTTCACCATTTCATTTTTCCAGCACACCATATTGTTAAAATATGAGTTTTTATATATTGTTTTTTTAATTGAAACATTTTGAATTGATCAATACAAATCGATGAAAAATGTGTGGTATCACTTCATACAACAAAGTCACTTCAGTTAGAAAAATGCATCCATGGGATTAATAATGGGATAAGTGGACTGCAATCCACCTCAGAAATCTGAAATTGCAGCCCCCTCCTAGTCTACTAGTAGCCCCCCCTTATAAACCGCATCCTGCCCTTGTGAATTTGGCATCAATCCATAGGCAGGATTCAGTCCACCCCTAGAAATCTTAGCACCACCCTAGGGGTGGACTGAACTATAAAAACCCCATTAATAATTGATGTTTATAGTTAAAATGTCAAATTGACACTTTAGAAACACCAATTTCTATTGATCAATCCAAAACATTTGAGGTAGATATAGCAATGGTACCAAGGCCATGCTCAGGAGTGCTTCAGTTAAAAATAAGTGCTTATTGAATAAGTGCTTAAAAACGAGTGTTTATTAGAATAAGCACTTATATGCATTTGGCACCCAACTTTTTCAAGTGCTTATTTTTTAAAATAAGCACTTATTTTATATTGGGTGTTTGGTAGTATTTTCCTCTTATAAGCACTTAAATAAGCATTTGTGACTATTTTGTCTTTCATTTTCTTTCAAATTTTCAAAATATACCCTTTGAAAGCACTTTTATTAAATTACTTATATAAAAATACTTTTATGAAAGTACTTTTATAAAAACACTTTTATGAAAATACTTTTATGATATCACTTTTATGAAAGTACTTTTATAAAAATACTTTTATGAAAGCACTTTTACAAAAGTACTTTTACGAAAGCACTTTTAAGAAAGTACCCTTACGAAAGCACGTTTACGAAATCACTTTTGTAAAAGCACTTTTATGAAAGTACTTTTATAAAATTACTTTTGTAAAAGTATTTTTATAAAGTGCTTTCATAAAAGTTCTTTCATAAAAGAATTTTCATAAAGTGTTTTCATAAAAGTACTTTCATAAAAGTGTTTTTATAGAAGTGCTTTCATAAAAGTACATTCTTAAAAGTGCTTTTGTAAAAGTGCTTTCATTAAAGTACTTTTATAAAAGTGTTATTGTAAAAGTGTTTTCATAAAAGTACTTTTATAAAGTTCAACTAGGGATAAATTTATAAGTGGTATTTTAAAATTCAACTAGGGATAATTTTAGAAGAAAAAATTGAATAAGTGCTTATTGTATAAGCACTTAAAAAAAGATGAAAATTTGGGCTTAAAAATAAGCACTTATTTCGGGCTTATTTCCCAAATACCAATAAGTGTTTAATGTCCCAAATAAACACTTATTTTTAAGCACTCCCAAACATGGCCAAAATACAACTTTGGTCTGCCCTTGGATTTTTAAATCCCTTGTAATTGATAAAATAAAGTAGGTTGACTATAAGACACCTCTCGTAAAAATGAGGCATGGGCTTGATCTCACCACTTCATTGTGAGAATACTTCGTGACCAACTCAATTATGTATAATTCAATAATTGACACTAACCCTACTAAACCACTAAGCTTGTTTAGCTTGTAGCACCTTTGACCTCTCCATGAGGGGGG